CATCACAGTGGACCTCACCCATCTCAACTCGCAGGAGCTTCGCATCGCCGCCGCTCAAGACCCGGCATACGTCCAACTCCTCGACTACGTCTCCGCTGGATTCCCCACCAACCGCTACGACATTCACGCCTCCGCCCTCCCCTTCTGGAAGCTAAGGGATAGCCTCTATGCGGACGGAGAGCTGGTGTTGTACGGCCCCAGGATCGTCGTTCCCGCTGCCCTCCGCCGGCGCACCTTATCCCGCCTCCATGACAGCCACCGCGGCGTTGAAGCCACCAGGCGCAGAGCCCGTCAGACCGTCTTCTGGCCTGGTATTGACGCCGATATTAAGAGCACGGTTGAGGCCTGTGAGCCTTGCCAGCAACTCCAGCCCAGCCAGCAACAAGAGCCGTACCTGTGCAATGACCTCCCGAAGCGGCCCTTTGAGTCTGTGTCCGCCGACTTCTTTCATGTGGCCGGAAAGTCTTTCCTGGTGGTCGCCGACAGGCTCTCTGGATGGCCCGTGGTAGTTCCCTGTGGTCGGGACACCGCCTCTTCCAGGGTCATCCGGATGTTTTGTTGCTTCTTCCGGGAAGTCGGAGTGCCTCTCCGCCTCCGAACCGACGGTGGGCCCCCGTTCAATAGCCACGAGTTCAAGAGCTTCGCCGAACGCTGGGGCGTCCACCACATCGTCACCTCCCCTCATTACCCGCAGGCGAATGGCCACGCCGAGGCAGCGGTAAAGTCCGTAAAATACCTCATCCTCAAGACAGCACCGACGGGGAACCTGGACTGCGAGGAGTTCGACAGGGGCCTACTAGAACTCCGTAACACCCCTACCCCTGCCGGACGCTCTCCTGCCCAGGTGTTGTATGGCCGCCCCCTTCGTACTTGTGTGCCTGCCCACCCCCAGTCCTTCTCAGATGAATGGCAGATCAAGGCGGACGAGTGTGACCGCCGTGAGGCTGCCCGGATGGCCCAAGTGACAAGCCACTATGACGCCCACGCCCGCCCCCTTCCCAGGTTGACCGTCGGCCAGCAAGTACGAATCCAGGACCCGACGTCACACCGCTGGGACAAGGTCGGGGTCGTCATGGGCCGTGGCGAGTCCCGTTTGTACCAAGTCCGCCTCCCCAGTGGTCGTGTGTGGTGGCAAAACAGACGCCATCTCCGCCCAGTGCCATCCTCTAGTGACGAACCTTCCTCCCCGTCCCCTGTGCCCCCTTGCCCAGACCAGGAACGAAGGTCGTCAGTTGATCCTCCCATTGTCCCTCGCCGCTCCCCCCGACTCATGGAAAAAGAGTCCGTAGCCGCTCGAGATTGCACTACGAGCGTAAAGGGGGAGGGAGGTGTATAGATATGTAAATACCAAGATATGTGAACACGCCTGACGGCAGGACTCTGTTACCATTCATCGTACCATTTATTCACATGTCTGTATTACTACATATTATTATAGCATGTCTGATATCTATGCTTATGTCTAATGCCTATGTTCACTTACCATGTACCGATGTACTATGTCTGTACCGCACTAGTCGAGTAACTAGAAGACCTTATTTATTGTCCTAGTAATATCTAGCAACTCTCCTTGCCTAGCTAGCTAACGTCCCTCAGATCGGCTTCGGCCTGCCTACGGCACGGAGTCCTTTTTGCTTGTCCCTGTTTTTCTGTACCTGTTGGTTATCCTGCCAAGTCTTGTACTACTTATTGAATATATCTACTGCTCGTGCCCTGGAGTTTCAAGAACCTTGTCTAGGATTGCATCCCACCACATTGATGACCTTAGAAAAAAATCTGTAGCATTAACTTTGTCTTTTAATATGTTCTTAGCTAAATGTCTTTAGTTTAGGTAAAATCTCGGTGTTATTTCTTGACGTTATTTCTTACATCTTAAACCAACCCTTTAGGTACATGATTATTTTTTTCATTAACGAGGAATATTTTCATCATAACACCATATTAATAAGCGTGAGGCAATATGTACCAAGAGGATTCATTAACGCTTCACGCTCCTGGCACCCTGTTGTACCCAAGCCATGATACGTTCTTCACGCTAATGGTAGGAAAAATTAAACCCTTTGAGTGTATTACCTTTACGTAAATGAATTCTTCGAGTTCTTCATTACCTCCTCTAACACGTGACTCTAATAACACGTGTATGTCTCTTGAGTTATTAAATGTCTTGTTATTTATGTCTGTGATGAGTTGATGCCACTTTTCTTGGGTACTTTTACTCATCATGTCTACCTGTACTTTTTTCCTAGGTATTATTATTTTTTCCATTTCCCACATTACTTTTTTAATATATCTCGTTACTTTTTTCATTGTTCCCATTACTTTCTATCATCTTCCGTCACTTTTCTGAGCTAACTGCAATTTTCTTCATTTCTCCAGTGTCTCTCTCTTCATCGGAGCTTCCTTATGTCACTTTTCATTATAACTCACTGACGTCACTTTATATCAGAACGCAATAGAAGCTACCCAGATTGACCCGTGTACAGAGGAAAGAGTATTGACCACACACACACACACACACACACACACACACACACACACAATATTCCTCCATCTATTGTGTGGTGACTAAGTTTCCCTCATTGTCAGGCGGGGCCATTAACTATGTCCCCAGCATGTGTTAAGTAGCAAGGTGGTGGTAATGGTGGGGGAAGTGATGGTGGTCATAGTGGTGCAGGTAGTGGTAGTAATGATAGTGGTGATAGTGGTTGTGATAATGGTGGTGTTGGTGGTGGTGGTGGTGGTAATAGTGGTGGTGTTGGTGGTGGTAATGGTGGTGGTAATAGTGGTGTTGGTGGTGTTAGTGGTAATTGCGATGTTTGTGGTGGTAATAGTGGTGGTGGAGGTGGTAGTAATGGTAGTTGAGCACTCGTCAAGACCTAATAAAACGCGGAGAATAACGTCCGTAGAATTATCGGTGACGCTATCGCATTTTAACAGCTGGTTTGTTGTTTATCAAGTTTCCTCTTATTCCTTTTCTACTTTTTATATTTCATCCTTCTTTTTTGCCTTTTTTACCAATTTCTTTTAGTTAATTTTTCTGTTTTTTTTTTAAAGATTCAATGGATCGCCTTTTCGTCTATTTCGGATTTTGAAGACCAAACTAAACAAAATCAAGTCCATTAAAATTTTTTGTAAATTTAATCATTTATTTTTTTGTTTTTGTAATCTGTTCTTCGCATTCATCAGATATTAAATATAAAATCGTCATTCACTATACCAGTGGTTCTCAACCTTGTTTGCCCCATGCACCCCTTTCACCATATGTCAGGATGTCATTCCCCCCTCCTTTCCAAGATTGTCTGCCTCAAAGAGTGCATTCCAAATAATATGCATATAATACTGAAAATCCTTTATTTTTTTCCATATTAGTACAAATACATTTACAATTTTGCATGGATTATTTTTATAGTGGAGTTTTACAAATTAAATGCCAATTGAAAATGTTGGTGGATTTATAAAACTTGAATAGAAGTAAAATAGCTTTTTTATATTTATAATGAATTACTTAACAGACCAAACTGAAGCATAATGCAATAAACAAAAAGTTCAATAGAATACCAGGATATTGTAAATTTGTAATTAATCTTATTCAGATGAAGATTACAGTCAATGAGAAACCTGTGATTGTTTTTTCTTCGCCAGTTCTGGGATATGCGGAGGAGTGCTTGAAAGGGCACAACGCAGGTCATTTTCTACCTCTAATCTACTACGTTGCTTCGTTTTAATTTGCAACAGAGTTGAAAAGCCTGACTCACAAAGATATGTCGACACAAACGGAAGCAATGCACGGATAGCTCTTTCTGCCACTTTTGGGTAGGAATCGCACATCAAGGGCCAAAATTCTGTGATTGATTTCTCATCGAACATACCTCTTGCTCCCGAATCAATTTTCAGCTCCAGAAATTCATCTTGACAATCATCAGGAACTTTTTCAACTGACAATTTGAATGGATTTCGCACTAAATGCAACTCATCATCACTGAGTTCAGGAAAATATCGGCTGAATTCATTTTCCAGTGTATCAAATGCTGTAAAATTTCATTTTTTGCAAATTGTGGAAGCACCTTGTCTTCACCACCAACAACAAGAACGGATGACATTTTCTCAAACATTGCAAAATTTTTTATATTAACCTTTCTCTTCCAATTTTTCAGCTTGCTCATGAAAGCTTTCAAGGCATCCATGAATTTTATGATGTTTGTATTCCTTCCTTGCATCTGAAGATTCAGTTTATCCAGCTGCTCAAAAATATCAACCAAATAGGCAAGGCGCATGAGCCATTCCTCATCATCCAGCCAGGCAAAAAATTCCATCTTACCCTGAACTTCAAAAAATAATTTGAGCTCATCTCTAAGCTCAAATATTCGCTCAGTTACATTTCCTCTTGACAGCCATCGAACATTTGTGTGGAAAAGAAGCAAATAATGGGCTGCATCCATGTCGGTACATAACTGCTTGAAAAGTCGTGAGTTGAGAGCTCCTCCTTTGACAAAATTCACAATTTGAATTGTTTGATCCAAAACCTTCCCTAGCGGAGCTGGAAGTGTTTTTGAGGCCAGTGCCTGACGATGGATCATATAATGAATGCCTTTCACTTTTGGAGCTCGCTTTTTCACACAAACTTGAAATCCTGATTTTGTCTCCAACATAGCTGGTGCTCCATCTGTACAGCACCCACAGATATTATCCCACAAAAGATTTTCTGATTCAAAGAAAGATGAAACCTTTTCCAAAATATACGAGGCCTTGGTAGTTGTTTCAAGAGGAGAACAAAAGAGAAACTCCTCTTTAAATGAACCTGAGTGAACATACCTTGCTAACACCATCAACTGGGAACACGATGCCACATCAGTCGATTCATCAAGTTGAATTGAAAATAAGCCAAATGCTGAAGACTTGATCTCCTGCACAACTTGATCCTTGATGTCAATGGCCATATCGCTGATCCTCCTTTGGATAGTACTGTTTGATAGTGGAACCGCTGCAAGTTTTTTCTCCAATCAATTTCCCAACACAATTTCCACCATCTTGAGAGAGCAAGGTTTGATCAAATTTTCCCCAATTGTATGTGGTTTTTTCTGCTTTGCTATCTCCAGTGCTACGACATAAGAAGCTTCAGTAACCTCTTGGTTTGTTTCTTTGAATGCCCCTGTTGAATCCAGCTTCATCTTTTTGAGAGCATTCCCATGACGTTCAAAAAAGTTTTGGTCCTTGTCCTTGTGTTGAGGATGAACATTCTGCAAATGTCGCCTCAACTTTGTTGGTTTCATAGAATCATTTGTCAAAGCTTTACTACAAATAACACATTGAGGCCTTTCTTCTCCATTGATGATGATGGATGTGAATCCATATTCAATATATGAATGATCGTACCCTCTTTTTTTGACACTCATGATGGGCTCCAAATTCTGTAAATAAAAACAAGAAAAAGTCAAAACTATAAATGGATATTTTCACAGATAAAAAAGTGAAATATTTATCTTTATTTTTTATTTAATCAGCAACATGGCTGGCATTAAGAAGTAAATAATGCCAGTGACGCACAAAAAGAATATGTGTAAAATGCACAAATATGGGAGATTATGGTCCATGTTAACACCACAAAAACTAGAGAAGCACAGTCACCAATGTGAGTGCGAAACCAACAAAATACTCACAAAAAGTGGCAAAAAACACAGGAGCTAACGGAGAGAAAACCCGGCGTGACCTCTCAGTAGCGCGGATCATTGAAGACTGCTCAGAACTGCAAGCATTGAAGTATGAGTCACACGTCATCTGCTAGAGTGGGGGGCCCGGCAGGGGTGCAGCGGCGTCGCTTCATCGAGGGGTAAGGGGGTTGTACGGGTATCGAGATATAATGTTGTCTAGCACTCAGGATGGATGGAAACTCTAAGGTGGTTTTCTTGTATAATATAAGTTATATGATAGACAGTCTGGTGCTGGAGGTGCCGTGTGGTGAGGGGCTGCTCAGTAGAGACGTTCGGTGAGTAGCGTGTTGTAGGAGGTAGATGTGCAGGAGCTTCGTTAGAGAAGATGTTGCCAGTTGCTGGCCTCCTGGTTGAATGAATGCTCACAGCGTGGAGCTTGCTGGAGGAGGTGTTGCTTGTTCAGGAAGATGGGCAGAATGAGAGCTGGTTGGTGAGGACAGCTGGTGGGTCGCCATGCTCGCTGGCGGGAGCGAGGACCGCCAGGCAGGCGAGGAGAAGCGAGGGGCCGCCAGGCAGCGGCGGAGGAGGAGGTGTTGCTTGTTGTAGAAGTGAGGCCGGAATCAATCTCAATGGAGAGACAGAGCTTATATACCTAGCAGACGTGAGTCACCTATGAGTCACGTTGGGAAAACCCGAGAAGTAACCGGTCTTTGGCTCGGTTGCTAGGATACGGCGGCGCATCTGGTGACGCCGCTCGTTTGGTTGCTAAGGAAAGCGTCGCAGGTGGGATGCAGCTACGCAGTTTGTAGGGGAGACGTCCACTACAGGGTGTAGGGGGTGGGGGTACTAGTGACAGGAGGCTAGGTCTAGGACTCTAAGCAAAGCGTAAGCTTTCGTAAGGGTACTTGCAGACGGACCACTCGGTGGCGCCTATATCTTTCCTTTGTGGCAGCCCTGTCTATGGGTAATCTATTTTGATCCTTACGGTTCAGGAGCTTGTGGTGAACGGTTTGATAGGCTGCTTGCAGCAGGTAACCGATGCATACTGAATTTTGTGCCGCCCTAGGGAGCTCAAAGGCAATAAAAAGATCAACATTCTAACAATTTGAGTTTGCTAATCTGTGGTCCCAATTCCCCCCCTTGAAAACCTGAAATCACCCCCTGGGGGGAATTCCCCCCTGGTTGAGAACCCCTGCACTATACATTACACTTCAGGTTTAGCGTCTACTAGTGAGGAAGGAAATCAATTCCTTGGCAAACATCTAATTCCAAGAAAAACGACTGCAGCCATGTCCGTGTGTGAGTGTGTGTGTGTGTGTGTGTGTGTGTGTGTGTGTGTGTGTGTAATCGATCCCTGTGTATCTTGTTGTAGTCTGGTACCTGTGGACATAATGAGTTACCTAGTCTGTTTTTTTCGTGTAATCCGGAATGTAATTTAAATTTAAGTGAACCTGCATTTCGTCTAATCTAAGTGTATTTCATTGTAGTTACCTTCTGGGTGTCGGTAATCCTGTGTGTCGTGTGAATTAATGGGCGGCGTAACCTGGGTGTAGCGACCTCCTGGGTGTAGAGCCAACCTTGTCAAATGTGGCCATAATGCCTGAGGCGGAGTCGTACTGTATGTTTGTTGCTTACCCGCTGAGTCACTCCTCGACCCCCAGCGTGATAAAAGGCTCCAGGGAGATTTATTTGTTATGTATGGAAACAACGTAGATTTTGTGATAATTTCTGACAGTAGAAAAAATTAAGTGATTCAGTGTGAGAAGAAATGAAGCAAATGATGAATATTTTTTTTTTTTAAGATTAATTACATTCAATGTTGTTATTACCGGTCATATAAAGACTAAGATAGACTATATAATAATAATACAGGTAGATTTTTTTACATTTGAAACTAATTAAGGTAAATAAATTATTTGCTTCCGTGTATTCCTAAGCTTTATTAACAAGCCTCTTTATTCACGTACTCAAGATAGGTCCAAACAAGAGATAATAACTATACAAAAATTATGGAAGGGTAGGTTCAAGATTGTTGAAAGGGGAATTATATACCTGTAACACCATTAATTATACTGCTGGTGACCGTGGTTGGTGGGATCAAATTATACCAGTATTTATGTTGCTTCTTGGTTGATATTCCTACACGTTTGTTGTCGATCGTGTAAATCTGGGGTTTTTATTTTGTCTCGGGTAAGTGAACGTATGAGAGGACACACACACACACACACACACACACACACACACACACACACACACACACACACACCACTGAATGAACACTACTGGGGGAAAAATTAATGACTCGTATCCTCATTATCATCAAGTGCGTGCGTGAGTCAGGTAACACGATCTTTTCCTTAGTGGTACAGGGGTCATATATACAGCTTGTGTAACTGATGGCGAATTGTGATATATATGTATATATATATATATATATATATATATATATATATATATATATATATATATATATATATATATATATATATATATATATATATATATATATATATATATATATATATATATAATATATATATATATATATATATATATATATATATATATATATATATATATATATATATATATATAAATATACTATAGGTCTATGTAATTATATATGCTTCGTGTGGTGTGATATAAGAAGTAAAATGTGATATAGGGTGATATAGTATGGTATTAGTATAGTGTAATTTCATATTAGATAGTGAATGTATAATTTAATATAGTAATATATATAATACAGTACTATAATTTACTATAGAAACACAGTACAATAGATGTGATATATAATTATACAAAATATCCATAACCATGCTTAACGTAAGCTAAAATGACACATATAATTTAATATATAGCGTAAGCAATTCCTTATATAAGGTGGGATAATGACAGACGTCCCAGCCAGTCATCTGTCAATCTCTGGTATCGGGTCTCAAATGACCCAGCTTGGAGAAGGTCGTGCTGATCGTGCTCCCGCTAGAGACCAAGGAAAATGGCCGCTTTGGATCGTTGTGCCGTGGGGGAAGAGGAGGGGAGTGTGGGGAAGGACGACCTCCTTGCCACGCTGTTAAGGCAGCTGGGGCAGTTGAGGAGTGAGGTTGACACTCTAAAGGGGGAAAATGAAGCCCTCAGGACGGAACTCCTTCAGGTAGGTGTCCTGCCTAGCAGGACACCTGCGAAGGAGGAGCAGGCGTGGAGAGTGGTTGTCTCCAAGGGGACTAGGGTCAGGCTTAGGAAAGCTGACCAGGGTGTGGAGTGCAGTAACCCTTACCAGGTGCTGCAGGAAGCTGGAGAGGAAGAGAAGAGGCAGGACGGTATGGATCAAGGAGAGGAAAGGGCAGTTGTACAAACCCTGCCCACAGGTAAGGTCGTGGTAGTTGGTGACAGCCAGGTGAGGTTTATGGATAGGGCTTTTTGTGCGAGAGATAGGAAACGTAGGACTAGGGTATGTTTTCCTGGGGCTGGGATAGGGCATGTAGCCGAGAGGTTAGACAGAGTTTTGTCAGGGGAGGGTACCAATCCAGTAGTGTGTCTTAGTGTGGGAGGAAACGACATAGGTAAGTTTAGGAGTGAGGAACTTTTCAAGAGGTATAGGGAGGCGCTGGGGAAGATTAGAGATAGGGGAGGGATCCCGATAGTATGTGGTGTCTTGCCTAGAAGAGGGGTTGGTCGTGGATGGCTGTCCAGGGCAATTGCTATTAATTGCCGACTGGAAAAACATTGTGCAAACAATGGTTGGGCATTCATTGATGACTGGCAACGATTTTATGGCAACGACTACCTGTACTGTCGCGACGGAGTACACTTGTCTCGTGAGGGGGTAAAGACGTTGTCTGCATCCCTGGAGCGTGAAATTGTCACTCCGAAGGGGGGGTTTCGCCAGTAGAGAGGGGTCGGGGAAAATGGGAGTCAAAAAACAAGCAGGTCCTGGGAAGTAGTGAAACAGAAGTAGATAATGCTGAAAATATAGTTAGTCATAATAACAAACATCAAAGTAATAAATGTAAAACAAATAGAAACGGAAGAAATATATTGAGTGTTTATTATACTAATAGTAGAAGCCTGTGTAACAAGATGGACCAGCTCAGGGCCATTGTTAGTAAAGAGAACATAGATATAATTGCAATAACGGAAACATGGATAAATTCAAACAGCAAGCATTTTTTAGCAGAATTTCATATTCCAGGATATAACCTATTTAAATTTGACAGAGTAGGAAGGAGAGGTGGCGGTGTAGCAGTGTATATCAGGGTGTCATTAAAAAGCTGCAATAAATCAAACATTAAAACAAATAGCGACAATGAAAGTATTTGGGTAGAGATTGGTGAGGGCAGTGAATCCGTAGTCATTGGTGTTATATATAGACCACCTAATTTGAGTAGGAACGATGGTAAATTGCTATGGGAGGAAATAAAGAAGGCATCTGATAGAAACAATGTATGTATTCTAGGCGATTTCAACTTTTCAGGCATAGATTGGAAAAATCAACTTAGCGATAATGAATCTGAAGATTTTCTAGAAGTAGTACAAGATAGTTTTTTATATCAATTCATAAACTCGCCCACTAGAGGAAATAATATCCTCGATTTAGTTCTCAGTAATAATGAAAATCTAGTAAAAGATGTTGGGATTGGAGACGAACTAGGAAACAGTGATCATAAAGCCATATATTTTAACATAATATGGGATGGCAGGAAGAAGGAAAATTCGGCCCTGATCCCGGATTTTAGGAAGGCTAATTACGGTAGCTTAAGGAGAGACCTAAGGGATGACCCTATGGTCAAAAGATTAATCCCCCCCACACCTCCGGAAACTGTCAACTTAGGACGGGATAACCCCGAATTTAATTTAGCAGCTACTTATGAACAATTTATTGCGCCAATCAATAATGCCCAAAATAAACACATCCCTAAAAGAAAATTCAGATCGATACGGAACCAACCAAAATGGATGAATAATAGACTCTTAGATCTTCTAGGGAAAAAGAAAGGAGTATATAGAAAAGTTAAGAAAGGCGAAAATCACTTACTTGGTTACTATCAGAACCTAACAAGACAGGTAAAACAGAAATTAGGAAAGCAAAGAGAAATTATGAAATCAAGGTAGCAAACGAATCGAAAA